GACATTTATTAAAGGCCTGCTACAGGCCTCTGTAGGACACAGCCCAGCAACTCTTGGGTCTGCTTGTTAGCAGGACTCGTGCACATCTAACAGGGGCAGTATGTCAGCAGTGGACTACGTGTCATCACCACCCGATGGGCCGATGATGGGGGTTCTAAAAAGGTCACAGCAATTTCATTGGCCTCATGAGGATGATTGTTTTGTCATACTATATTTATGTCCCCATCTCCATTTGTTAAATTGTAAGCTTGTGTGTAAAATGGATTTGATATAGTCCACTGTATAATAGCATTATTTTATTTCACTAAAAGAAAGCCATAAAACCACATTAAAGAAATGACCAAAACATTTATTCTTCAGTCTTTTCCCCCCTCTCCTTATTATCGTTTGACATGAATGCAATGTGAAGCATCCTCAAACACTAGTGCGATACCAATTCAACACTAATAATGTCATCTAACTACAAGGATGCACCGATGCTGCAAAACGTGCAGCTCAGCATTGATTTTCTTTTAAACTCTGCAGTTAGTAGGTATTTACTCATGATACTGCCTAGATGCCAGTTTTTGTATGTTCTCACATTAAACTAATGTTTAAAGAGTAAGTAAAAGATCATTTCACATGCCTGTTAATTACAACAATCTCAAAAACTGATTTAAGTGAATGAGCCTTGTTTATGTTCTAGCTCCATTGTAACCGATTTTAGCTTTTTATTTTAAACAGAACACTCCTGTCACTCAATGAATGGGCAGGGTTATTTGAGATAACATTGCTTCCCTGTGTTGTGTGGACACATATTTGCATCACACATACAACATCACATACAATCCAAGGATTCATTCATCTGCTGGCCACCATCACACAGACAGACAGACAGACAGACAGACGCGTTGAACCTGTGACAGAACTACATGAACTGTGGATCTTATTTCTGACTCATCATGCCCCTGTGATGCTCACCACTTGTCAGGGTTTCGTTGGTGTGCTGGACGGGTGGGTGAATGTGTCCATGTGTGTCAGTGTGTGTTGGAGTGCCAGTGTGTAGGTGTGTGTCAGTTTGTCAGCGGTGGCACCTACAGGACTTGAACACATGGGGCTACTATTAGCTCGGGTGGATGAATTACAACAGGCTGTGCCGTTGTAGAACACTGGTGTATTTATAAGCACACTGCTGTGCCTGTCCAGGAACACTGACTCACATAAGCGGCTGTTCTCACACGGCGGAGAGTGTTTGGGAGGTCAGAGAGACGTAAGAAGCGGCAAACCAACGCAGTAGAATGAAAATGTGTATAGCTAACATTCTGAATTCAGCTCCCAGGCAAGATTTCATGCTTGCTGTGGGAGAGGGCTCTCACCATTGACTATCAGTGAGTCACTCCACTGTGATACAAACAGCATCTGTTAGAGTCAATTTAATACAGCATAGATTTCTGCTAAGTGAGTTATGAGTTTCCATAACCTTGATGCTTTGATTACTCTCTGTTCATAGTGAGCTTTGAGAATGAGTAGGTCTTTGGCAGAAGAACATGTGACAGTTACCCTGAAATACTTCATTTGCTCTGGTTTGTGTTTCTATACTTTTTCTTCTGCTTTTACAGTGCAGGGTTGGAGCTAGAAAATTTTGGATGGAGTGGCCCGGCTGGGGCACAGACTTAGAGAAGGGTGGATATAAACCACACATTATTAAGAATCTAATTGTTTATTTTGTGTAGAACTAAGATACATATAGTGCTTTCTTTAGGTAACTTTGGCTGTGCTCCTTATTTACTCCTGGACAGTGACAGTGGATAATGGTTCCCCCACCAGAGAAGTGATTAATGCCAGGTACTCCACAACAACATGAATGCAAACTGAATGTACTGTAAATATTGTGCTGCATGCATGATATAAAATAAAACTAATTTGACCAATATTGATTATAAAGCATCAGAAAATGTTAGTTGTATGTAAGGCAACAATTCTTTGTCATTGTTTTAACTTTTTCATTTTTTATACATTAACGCTGACAAGCATCACATTTAGACTCTGGCAGGGGTGGCACTGGGGGTTGCCAGTCAGATTCTGGGAGTGGTCAGTGGCACCCTTGGCCACCCCCTTTGCTCTGCCCCTGTTACAGTGGTCAGACCACTGCTGTGTGACTGCTGTGCCACTGTATGGCATATACAGTGCCTTGCGAAAGTATTCGGCCCCCTTGAACTTTGCGACCTTTTGCCACATTTCAGGCTTCAAACATAAAGATATAAAACTGTAATTTTTTGTGAAGAATCAACAACAAGTGGGACACAATCATGAAGTGGAACGAAATTTATTGGATATGTCAAACTTTTTTAACAAATAAAAAAACTGAAAAATTGGGCGTGCAAAATTATTCAACCCCCTTAAGTTAATACGTTGTAGCGCCACCTTTTGCTGCGATTACAGCTGTAAGTCACTTGGGGTATGTCTCTATCAGTTTTGCACATCGAGAGACTGAAATTTTTGCCCATGCCTCCTTGCAAAACAGCTCGAGCTCAGTGAGGTTGGATGGAGAGCGTTTGTGAACAGCAGTTTTCCACAGATTCTCGATTGGATTCAGGTCTGGACTTTGACTTGGCCATTCTAACACCTGGATATGTTTATTTGTGAACCATTCCATTGTAGATTTTGCTTTATGTTTTGGATCATTGTCTTGTTGGAAGACAAATCTCCGTCCCAGTCTCAGGTCTTTTGCAGACTCCATCAGGTTTCCTTCCAGAATGGTCCTGTATTTGGCTCCATCCATCTTCCCATCAAGTTTAACCATCTTCCCTGTCCCTGCTGAAGAAAAGCAGGCCCAAACAATGATGCTGCCACCACCATGTTTGACAGAGGGGATGGTGTGTTCAGGGTGATGAGCTGTGTTGCTTTTACGCCAAACATAACGTTTTGCATTGTTGCCAAAAAGTTCGATTTTGGTTTCATCTGACCAGAGCACCTTCTTCCACATGTTTGGTGTGTCTCCCAGGTGGCTTGTGGCAAACTTTAAACGACACTTTTTATGGATATCTTTAAGAAATGGCTTTCTTCTTGCCACTCTTCCATAAAGGCCAGATTTGTGCAGTATACGACTGATTGTTGTCCTATGGACAGAGTCTCCCACCTCAGCTGTAGATCTCTGCAGTTCATCCAGAGTGATCATGGGCCTCTTGGCTGCATCTCTGATCAGTCTTCTCCTTGTATGAGCTGAAAGTTTAGAGGGACGGCCAGGTCTTGGTAGATTTGCAGTGGTCTGATACTCCTTCCATTTCAATATTATCACTTGCACAGTGCTCCTTGGGATGTTTAAAGCTTGGGAAATCTTTTTGTATCCAAATCCGGCTTTAAACTTCTCCACAACAGTATCTCGGACCTGCCTGGTGTGTTCCTTGTTCTTCATGATGCTCTCTGCGCTTTAAACAGACCTCTGAGACTATCACAGTGCAGGTGCATTTATACGGAGACTTGATTACACACAGGTGGATTCTATTTATCATCATTAGTCATTTAGGTCAACATTGGATCATTCAGAGATCCTCACTGAACTTCTGGAGAGAGTTTGCTGCACTGAAAGTAAAGGGGCTGAATAATTTTGCACGCCCAATTATTCAGTTTTTTATTTGTTAAAAAAGTTTGAAATATCCAATAAATTTCGTTCCACTTCATGATTGTGTCCCACTTGTTGTTGATTCTTCACAAAAAATTACAGTTTTATATCTTTATGTTTGAAGCCTGAAATGTGGCAAAAGGTCGCAAAGTTCAAGGGGGCCGAATACTTTCGCAAGGCACTGTAAAAATTACTGCAGGTAGTGCAATGTAGGCCTAACTTCACAAAGGTTTATTCAGCTACTGTACAATGCTGACAAAATACTAAAGTACAGCTAAAGCTTATATATGTAAGGCTCCTGACAAAGGATCTCCCAGTTCTCCCAGGTCATTTTTCACAGAAACACCTTTTTATATTACAGTCCACACCAACAACACAGTAGTTTTGGAAAATAACTAAGTACATTTACTTTATCCCATAGTAAGTACATTTGAGAGGATGGCGACGTATCAAAAATGATTTGTGGAAATGAGGGTTAATTTCCTGCTTTGGAACAAATAGTGCTTCTTAAATATATAGCTCATTCACATGTATGAGTCACAAAATTGTTCTCCTATGCATTGTCAGCAGAGTTGCTCTAGGTCGTACATCACTGATTTCTTAGACTGAGCCTCTGGCTCTCTGGTTCACACTAAATTGAATAGACTGCCCCTTTCGAGGCCTCTGGCTCTCTGGTTCATACTAAATTGAATAGACTGCCCCTTTCGATGAAAATCATTTGTGGTTAGATACATACAAACTTAAAGACTGATATAATATATTTTTTTTAATCTAATTTAAGACCCAAATACAGTGTATGTGTGTTTTCCTCCAAAATCTGGGGTCCTCTGTACACTTGCTGCTGGTGCTCCTCCTGGTGGTTTGGTGTGTTCATCAACTTCTGTGGGAACTTAATGTAGAAGACAGCAGCTCTGTTCTCCACAGTACTGTCTGTGCTATCCTGTCTCTGTGAAACTCACCACACAACAGAAAGAGTCTTTTATGCCTTGTTTCTAGCTGAGTTTCTGTTCTGTAAATCCAAGGACCCACCAAGATAAACACTGCTAAATGGGCTTTAACTCTAATGTGTTCAATAGTTTTAAGTATGATATGTAGAGCTTCCCCTCTAAGGCCTTCTATTGCATGCAAATGGATGCTATACTGTTATGCACTATTATCTATAATCGCTATAAAGGGACAAACACTGGCATGTGGATATTAAACATTCTTGTGACTATTAAACTTATATAAAAACTGAGTAAACAAAGAAATTAAGTAAAATGTGGCAGGGATATGTCCAGAAGTATTGTTTTATTTGAATACACCTCCACACAACTATCAGAATGTATGCACTAAATAACAGCACCAGTCAGAGACATACATGTTAAATAGATCATTTCTGTATCTTTCTGTGCCGCAGGATGAGCTCCTCAGGTCTGTAAGCCCCTGCTGATTGGAGACATGTTTTAAGGGCGACATCCCGGCCACCATGAAAGGGTTAGGAGCCAACCGCAATCGTCACCTGTCCGACTCATGTGAATCAGCGGGATGCCCACAGAAGCCTCTCTGTCCTTTGGCCTCCGACCCTCATGGCTCTTTTCTACTGAGCCCCACTATAAACCACTATGGCACTTTGGACCCCCATCTCCACCAGTGCCCCCCCACCAGCTCCACCACCCTGACCCCAGACTGCCTGCTGCCTTTCAGCCAAATGTCCAGCAGTAGCACCTTCCCTCGTCTGCACTTCACCTCCCAGACTGACCAGGTTGACTGCCCCCAGGGCTGTATGGCTGGGGGTGGTGGAGTTGGGCAGGGCAGCAGGGCAGGTACACTATCCACCTCTTTGTCTATGGGTATGGGCTTGGGTCTGGGCCTTACTGGTGCTCCTATAATCACCAGTGGATCAGCCACCATCTCCTCTGCAGCAGCAGCCAAAATGAATCGGTTACCTTCCAACCTTTTGGATCAGCTGGAGAGGCACCTACCCCTGCAGCGTGATGGCTTCAGTACTCTGCAGTTCCACAGAGGACGCATGTCGAAGCAACGCAGTGAGAGTCCAGGCCGCATACGCCACCTGATGCACTCTGTTCAGAAGCTATTTGCCAAGTCCCAGTCCCTGGAAAACTCTGCAATTAAAGGCAGCTTAAATGGACGCTCTGCTGGAGGAATGACTGGCACCACAGGTGCTGGTGAGGATGGTGGTAGACCAACCCGCAGGAGCAAGAGTAAAGACAGGGCTAAAACTGAGGGGCCTAAGCAGAGACCTAGGCCTAATACAATAGGCCTCTGGAGCTCAGAAGATGCCCTGGACAATGACACTACCAAAGCTGGCACTATAGCTGTAGGATACCGCAACCCACTGAGCATGATGACTCTTGGCAGAGCGGTGTCAGACAGTCAGGCTGCTCCCCGACATATTTCACAGGGCTACAACACCATCTCTGCACATACTCTCAAGACTTTGAAAAGCAGCAGTGACCTCAAGTTCCTGGCATGCCCAGCTGCACAGGTAGGATCCAAGGAAGAGGAAGGAAGAACTAAGGAAAGCAAGGATGATACATTGGTGAAGAGGGGCTCCTGGTCCACTCTTACTCTTAGCCAAGCCAGACAAGTGTTGCAGAAGGGCTCTGCTACAGTCAACAGGACCCTGCTTAAATCAAAGTCATGCCACCAAGACCTGGCACAGCAGTTCCTTCAGGTAGGAGGGCCAGTGTGTATTCATCTTCATTATCATTGTAAGTTTGCACACATTTCTATCATTTCTTTTGGATTTGTTGTTTTATTGGAGCAGACGCTTAATCTGTTTATCATGTATACTTCATACTCATTGTTTGCATTCAGTCACATTTATAGATTGTTTCCCACAAATGATGACAATCATCCCCGTCATATTTTCTTTTTTAACCCTCTGATGCACAACCTATTCTACACAACAGCATACTTTTACCTTATATTTACTTGGTAGAATATAACATCTTGCATCAAGTCATTGAGAGACACTCTCTTTCTGTCACTTTAGCAGATTAAGCCCCATAGGTCGGGATATTCTGAGAGGAAGAATACAAAAAAACTTACATTTGTGTTAGGGCAGTCTTGTGACACTGAGTGGAATAATCCACAGTAAAATATGTTCTTACTTTCAAATACATAGGCAAATTCAAGGTTCCTATTAAATTCCATTGAGAATAAATGAGGTAATTTATTGACTTGTGTTGCACATTAACAGGATACTGATCCAAAAATGTTTTTTATTCAAAAATAAAATTAAGTAATATAAAAATAATTGTTTGTGATGTTAAAAGCAAACAGATTGAGGAATTCATTAAATATTTAGTGATAACATACATCACATGCAAAGATGTTAAATCATTTACTCAGGTCACTCTTGACCCATGTTGTGCATCAGAGGGTTAAGCACCATTGCTGCACATGCAAGAATCACACTGTGAAGATTTATATATATAAAAAAAGGAATAAAATCATGCACAGACCAAGTTTCATAACTCTGTATATTTTTTCATAATCCAGGTCCCAGTGGGGGACTGGGCAGGAACTCTGGGTCGTGGCCGGGCCAGAGGAACTGAGATCCCCTGTCGAAGGATGCGCAGTGGCAGCTATGTGAAAGCTATGGGAGACTTAGGAGACAGCGAAGACTCAGAGGGCAGCCCCAAGCCTTCCCCTAAATCTGCAGCTCGTCGCCAGAGCTACCTGAAAGCCACCCAGCAGTCCCTGAGTGAGCAACAGCCATCACCACCTTCACGCAAGTAAGTGCCACAGCATAGAGAATCAGCTTCATCATGCTGGGATTATGACTTTGATCATCATACTCACTGCCATAGCTGAGTTTGTTCTCTTTTACTTTAATTCATTATACTATAAACAGACACTGAAGGGGTATTTGTTGTTAAAACTGTGGGAAGAAATATTTTTTCATGTCCCCAAAGTTAGTCAGCAGGTGGCAGTATCACGTCACAAATAATTGTCTGGATGTGCAGAGGCTTATTCAAAGCATATCAATAGAAGCCTTCTGTGGAGGTGTAGATGCAGCTTAACAACAGGGGACAAGAAACAATATACAATATTATCTTGATAATATTATATTATCTCAGCTACAAAAAGCAAAAGGAGGTGAAATTTTGTAATGTGCTTTACCCCTACATTCACATGGACAGGCCTCGTTGCTATGGTCTCATACGGGAGGATTATCTGTGGTCTCCTCTGCAAAGTGCATGCTCTATGCAGCACCTGAGGTCAGTGTCACCCATAGGCAGGCAGTGTGGACCCCCCCACCCAGCTCACTTACCCTATAACACAACTACCCACTGCCTTTTTTGTCTAACCCTCCCATAACTTTTCCGCTTTGCCCCACATTCCCTCTCTTACCATGCAGGTCCCCTCAGTAATGTGTACTTTACTCGTACCTGCTCCCTCACGTCCTGATTTCCCAACATGCAAATATCCATGGAAATCACTCCACCACAAACTGCTGCTTAGTGCACATACATTTTCACTAACGGCTGGTGCCAAAAGGGCAAGCCAGAACAGAGGAAATCAAAAAACATTCATCGTTGAATCAGAAAACACATTTATAAAGTCAAATTTAACTGGTTTACTCATAAATCATTGTTTCCTCTGTGCTTCCTTTACACCCTAGCACATATCACTGTCCAGACATCTCAATTGTATTTAATTTTAAAATACCCAGGGGAACATTTTGGAGTGTAATCTAAAGTTTCCCCTGGATATCATCAATTAAACACAGCCCTCACTTATTCCGGTCTATGATTTCTAAGAGGCTGCTTATTATATTCACTTCCACAGCTCCCTGCCATCCCTTAAAGAACTGTCGACTAATCGAAGTCTTGACAACTTAGACTGTCTGGTGAGCCCATTGGAGGACTCTGCACACCATAGGAACAGTGATTTCAGTCAGTGCTCTAGCATACTGGGCAGAGGCTCAGGCACTCAGGTATGTCTACTGCCTTATCAGATGTGTTGCTATTACAGTGGCTAATCAGTAGTTTAGTTGTTTTCTCATGTGTGTCTGTGATCCACCAACATTTCTATGACAAATATGTATTTTTCTGGGTATAATAAAAAATATTCATACCCACAGTATATATATATATATTCAGCCTAGGTTGAAACTACTGACAGAGAATGTTTAAACGTATGTAATGTCTGCTGAGACTGCTGAAATAACCAAGCCACGAATAGAATAGAAAATATGCTTGAGCATGTTTGTAGAATATCAATATGGTACATATGCCTCAGGATAAACCTGAAGGAGCTTGCTGTACATCTTCATCAGCAGCAATGCAGAATCACACCGTTTATAGAGCTGTCATGGTGTCAGTCTGCACAAGTTCATGAGAACTTTTAACATCCACCAGTGACTTAAGGATTCACTTTTCTTTAAGGTGACAGGTAAGTCAACCAGAATGAAACATGTGTTGATGGTAAATTAATACATTTGGAGTCATCTGATTTTGTGGGATTATATTTTGTACCACTTGTGACATTTTCATATTTGTTACTAGAATTGGAAACATAAAAATAACTACTACTGGTCATTTCGGCCTCTTTTTGCATTGTGTGATCAAACATTTCAGATCAGCAGATGTCACCGCTTATTCCCTTCATACAGTGACAGTACAAATCACTGCAACAAAGAAAATACTGAAACAAATCTATTTTGAGTAATTCATACAATACAGTGGGAAATATTTTTACACCAGCCCTGAACCAAGAACTAAACCTGGTCATCATTAGTATTGGCTTTAATGGTCATTAGTACATTCACCCTATCCCCAACATCTTGAGTCACAGGTATGAGCAGTGGTGAAAAGTAACTGTGTAACTTTTACTTAAAGTAAAAAAAAAAAGCATAGCTCTCTGAGTGAATGCATGTGTCTCAGTCTGCCCTCTACCCTCAGCGTGTGAGTATGCACATGTTCTTTCAGGTATGCGGGCAGGGTTGGGGACACTCCTTACCGTACTGTGAGAGAGAATCGCAGGCAGTGGAGGCTCTGGATCTGCCTGCGCCTAGGTGCTTCCGGTCACGCAGCCACAGCTACCTGCGGGCCATCCAGGCGGGTTGTTCCCAGGATGAAGATACAGCCTCTGTGGACTCAGAGTCCCCACCACCCACCACTACAGGCTACAGCGCAGATACCAGTGAGTACCAGCGACAGGATAAGGTGGCATACAGTAGAGCTGCTGAGGATAGTATTCAGTTTTTAAAGTATTAGTTTAAAGGGAGAAACTACATGACTGTCATCCACATCATCACAGTTATCATCTCTTTACTTAGTTATTTACTGTACATCACTGACAGGCAGCCATATTAATATTTTGCACAACCAGAATCAGAATCAGAATCAGAATTATCTTTAATTGCCAAGTATGCTTGAACATATAGGAATCTGACTCTGGTTCAGAGGCCTTCAATGTGTTGTAAGGCAACAGGCATAGAAAGTAACAATAAGAATAAAAATAAAAAGCAGCAATAAAAATGAGAATAAGAATAAACAGTGTGTGCATTCAAATGGGAAATGTGTGCAATCAAAAATGGGAAAGGAATGAGAGGAAAAGAGAGCAAGGTTTTAGAAATAAATAACAGCTTTTATGAATAACAACAGGTACAAATATTTCTCCACAAGGATCAGATTTATTTTGACTTATTAACAAGGTTGTGTCTTGGTGAAATTGGTGAAAGTCCTTGATAAAATATTACGACTGCAATAAGGAGAATAGCAGAATATGTGAAAGAACTGACTGTTGTGAACACAGTAAGTGGTAGTGCTGCACCAAATCGGACATCCCACTGACCAATGAGAAAGCAAACAATTTTTCATGTGAACTGCAGAACGTAAAACTACTGTCACTACATTTTGTAGATATTTTCAGTGTGTAATACATTGTTCACTAGAAAAGGTTCCACTGGACCAGAATGTTTAGCAGTTTATAACAAAAACAGTGATGACACACATCAGTGTTTAAAATTTTGACATAATTTACAACCATCAGCCCTTGTCAGAAAGGGTTTATTTCTAGGGCACTAAGTGTAATAATGGCCCCACTAGGCATTACTGTGTCATAGATGACATACAATGCAGTTTTAGTTTTTGTTTAAAAACATTTTGTGAACGGTTACATAATGTAAATGCTGCAATATGAAATTAAAGTGAGTCATATTTTACTGTTTTGTGTTTAAAAGAAATTCAAGAGGCCTACGTTAATATATTTTTGCCCACAGTCCAATCAAGCAATGAGTAGCTACTTCAAGTAATTGTCAGAGATTTCTTGAATCCCTGCAGTGTTGAAGTGAAGTACCAATATTTTGGATATGTTTTATAAATATTCACTGTGCATGTTGTGAATGCATGAATTAAATTTCCTGAGTGTTATGTTTTCTTATCATTGAATAAAATGGCCTGAATGAGTTTTAACTAAAAAAGAATATGGCAGAATTTGTGAGACTTAAAAATCTAACATATGCCTGATGTTAAACATTTTATCAGCTCATAGTTATAAGAAATTATTTAAGATGACCAAAACATATTGATTGAACATAACAGCGTAACCCAATGATAAAGACAGTCATCGCTTCTAAGGTAGTCATATCAGTGTTACAGTTGGTGCACCCCAGGGCCCGTCATAGTTGATACTGGACCTCACTGATACAAAAATCAGATAAATCTGCAATTAATCTAATTTTGCTGACTCAAATTATATGGTGTTATCCTGTGGCTGTGGGGGCCCTTGGGCAGTGTCAGTCACAAGCAGTTTTTGTTTAGGGCTGGGGTTGTATTTACTATATTGAATATATTTATTGCCACAGAGAATGTTAATACGATGAGGTAGATAACTGACTTTATTTTATAATAACAGAAATAGCTCCGTTTTTAAAGGAGAGTGTCACAGTGGATCCAATATGTGATTATTTTTTATGTCTAGACTAGTCTGGTCTATCGTTCCACCAGAATCAGACTAAATGAAACGCACCTATCCAGTAACACATTCACAAATAACGTTAGATGAAGATTTCCACCAATCACCTTCGTGTTCGATGACATCGAGAACCAGAACCGTCCATTCATGTGCAAAGAGCAGTAAACGCATCCAATGTGGACTCCAATCCTCGTCGTCAAGGGCGTGTACTAGCTACAAGTCTTTTCTTCGCGGCGTCGTTGTGTATCTTACGGCAGGACTCCCTAGATCGACCGCATCTTGTCTGCATTTCATGAATGAACAGAAAATAAGGATTTTCGAGTCGCCCACGATACAGTAAGGCTTTTGTCACCCTTTTTCTCGACTCAGCGTTAATGTTCCGACTGTCAGTTGTTGTCGATACGATAGCATCAACGAGCTAAAGTGAGCTAATCGTATGGTAGGTTAGCTAGCTAACGTGGATGAAGAAAGGGGATGAAACCGTAATGAGAATTGTTAGAAAAGAGGCGAGGTTGGTGGACAGCAACGTGGCTGCTATGGTCAGAATGGTCGTAATAGGCTGCCGGTAGCCTTTTCTTGGCTCGCTTATACCTCACCTACACAATTCCTGTGGCTAACATCTTCTAATGTTAAATACCCTGTGCGGTAATACACCGTAATAAGCCTTTACTGGCTAGTATCACAGGCTAACTGTAGCAGAGATGTCATGGGCAGATGGGTAACCGGCTAGTTCGGCTAACCAAACCTCTGTCATTTTTAATACATAAAATAGTATAACATATTAATAGCATAATGCCACAGTAGTAACGTGACACTGTGTAGCATTTAAGACTTTACCAAATTGTTTGATTTAGATACTACTGACAAAGTTTATTCATTAAGAGGTAAAAAGAACCCCTGGATTTCTCTGTCAAGGTGCATTTCTTCAACTCGCGCAGACATAGAGTATTTAAATTGCCTTACCGATGATCTTTTGGGTTAACATTGGCTGTTGAACTGAGACAAATTCAGTTTATACGATTCTTTTCTCACACCCCAGACTCAACATGTGACAGTGATGCGAGCTCAGAGGCATGGAGGAAATTATGAATCACGTTAAGCTTCTCAGTAGTTTATCTACAAAGTCAAAGCTGACAGTGGGTGATAGTGTTACTGCCGAGGATGAAATCTCTGTACCGCAGATTGTTTTACAGTATGTCTCCTGAACCGGTCAGAGAGTACCTTTTGAAGTGTACCACGCTGTTTTTAATGGAAGAAGATAATATTAAACTTATTCTGTAAATTATAATCCTGTTTTGAACAACATGCAGTGTGAGTAGATCCAGTTAGTGTCTTGAATCCTGCCTCTAGTGCAGAGGATATTTTGGCACACAGTGTTATGTGCCATTTTTATTCAGTAGACATTTACCACATTTTAAGATCTGAGGATACAATCAATAATTTATGAGCTTCCTTCCCTGTATAGTGCTTTGCAGGACAACAGAATAAGTTAGGACACTTTGTTGGGCTTTTATAAGAACCACCTGACTCAAGAAGGATGTACACACAAACGGAATGTAACATAAGAGTGAAACTCTAAGCATAGCATTACCCGTGTCCCTTTTCTGTGCTCACAGACACTATTGTTGTTACGATGTAACAATTGTTTATATTGGTTGGGAGACTTAAGCCATTCTTTTTAACTTTCAGTGTTCAAAATGCTTCAAACAGACTGTGGGGTATCATTAGACAAATTGGCTTTGAAGCTTCATTGTAGCCACAAGGCGTGTTCATTGTATCCAGCAGATCACACAAGTTATTGTGTGTCTGTATATTGCCATGGATAGACTGTGAGTCATCCCCTAGTGTTATTGATGAGGTCATCTCATTTCTTGACTGAACAGGTGAAGCAACTGTGGTTTCACAGTAAGGTCAACAGTAGACAGGCTTCCTGATGATGAGGCTGCATACTAAAGGCCTAAACAGGTTTGACAGCTGGTAAAACAGTACTCTTGGAATATGTAGACACTTTAGAGTAAGACACATTTTAAAAATTTGTCATTTAATAGTTGATCAGTCGATGAGTATGTCAGCAGCTGTTTTGATAAGAGATGAATTGTTAAGGACAGTTTTTAAGCAAAAAAAGTCAGATAGTCACTTCTTCCAGATCCTCAGTGATGAGGATTTTCTCTTTCTTTGTTTTGTGTGATGGTAAATGTAATATCTTTACTCTTTAAGCAGTGGTTGGACAGCATCCACTTTGACAGTATCATCGTAGGAGTTGTGATTTTTTTTTTTTTTTTTGCCATTTTCAGCCGATTTATTGAGACTTGGCAAGACAATTGTTAGTTGCAATTTGTTTTTTCATCATATGTTTACCATGTAGTTTGATTTTGCATGTCCAGAGCACATCGTCACATCTGTACTGATGTTGGCAAAATCCTTGTCATTTATTGATCTTTATTATTCCTGGAAGGTTTGACTTGAGAGACACTTGCCATGTGGTGTACATCAGCTGATTAGCCTACAACCCAGACTGCTGCTCTAGTGCAGCGGGTCAGACTAAGGACCACAGGACGTCTTAAGGATATCAGCATATACAGCAGATAAAAATGCACAAAGGGTGGACTACATTATTTAGATTTGTCTGAATCTGAATGACTGTTCTCAAGGCAAGTTATTCTATGCTTTTTATTTAAAATGTTTATATTACGTTCACTTTATATACTAGTCACATTAGGAAGCAATGAAAGGCAAATTGCTTGACTGTTAATCGAATAATAGATGTTTTTAGAACTTTTGCTTTTGGTGTTGTCAATCTTTGGTCTATGTAGTGTGTAAGTGGTTTACTGTACTTTTTCCTATCACCATGTCAGCATTGTAAACTTAATGGCAGTCTGTCTTTTTATCTCAACACAGAGTCCTTACTGCCATGGTGTCCATCAGCCCTGCTCTGTGATTTAATGCCTTTTGACTTATACCCTTAATCTCGTTTCTCTTATTCATGAAGCCATTGTGGAAAACAGGAAGTCTGCAGTGAAAACCAATACTTTGTTGATGAATATAAATCATAACACACCAGTAATAAGCAGCAGCAGTGAGAATCAGATGGTGTGAATTAATTGTTTTCATTTATGCAGTGACCAACATTTGCAAAAAACAAATAACATAAAAAACTGCAGTATACAGTATGTTGCAACTCTGGTAGCAGCAAAAGATCTATTGGTGTTCATCGCCAGAGGAAT